TTAAGGCTCTTGGATAAGACTGTAATTTCACCTGTTGAAAACATTTTCTAAGAGTGCCATAACAAAGTACTACAAATTGGTTGGCTTATGAAAACAGAAATTTATTTTCTTAAAATTCTGCAGGCTAATAGTACAAATTCAGGTGATGATAGGACCATGGTCTCACTGAAGGTCCTAGCAGAAGATCCTTTCCTGTGTCTCATAGCTTCTGCTTGCCTGAGGTGATCCTTGGCTTGTAGCAGCATAACTCATCCATACATGCCCCTCTTACCTGCATATGTCTCTCTGTGTCTCTTCTCTTTTATAAAGAAACCACTCAGATTGGATTAGGACCCAACCTACTCCAGTATGACTTCATGTTAACTGATAACATCTTCAAAGACCCTATCTTGTAAAGGACTCTATAATGACTTTACATCAGTGACTGTAATACATGAACTTTCTTGAACACCAAATGAAAAAATAATTTGTAAGGTAAGATTCAGGACAAAGGTGGTTCCTATGAAAACCAAAAACCCAAACTCACTGCCTTTGAGTCAGATCCAACTCATAGTGACCCTTCCTGGAGTTTCTGAGGTGGTATCACTACAGAAGTAGATCACCCAACGTTCCTTCTGAGGAGTGGCTGGTGGATTTGAACCGCCAGCCTTCTGGTTAGCAGTCAAATGCCTTAGGCACTACACCACCAGAGCTCCTGGTTCCTATGAAGCAGAGGTCAAATATACACCCATTCTCCAACTTTTCCACCATTTCTGATGTCAGCCATTCTTCCCACAGCACTGTTTATTGGATTCCATAGCTCACTGCAATGATGAAGATAATTTGTACAAACATTATATCTACAGTAATAACTTTGCTATAATAGAGAAAGATATAAACAGGAATGAAGATATTCATAGAGTGAGGTTCAGGAGGGCTCCCATAGGGCATTACATCTCAAAGAGGATCCAATTATTCATCCCTAAAACAGATATTCATTCTCACCCATCAGAAACTTTTTTTTTTTTTTTGACAGCCACAGGTTAACTTATCCAACCAATTATGAAGTCTTACTTCTTCCTTAGCCTCCCTTGAATGTTTATTTCTCTCTATCCTCATTACTACCATCCCCCAAAAGTCACTGCCATGTCTCACCTGATTACTCCTGATACTTCAACAGAATCCCATCTGGTCTCTCAACCCCTAGTTTTGATTCCCCTCATCTATTATTCTCAAGGTAGCCAGAGTGATCTTTTTATTTATTTATTTATTATCATTTGGGTGAAGATATACTGAGCAAATTCACTTTCCATACAGCAGTTCACATATACTTTGTCTCATGTAATTGACCACAGTTTACCACAGTGCAACAGCTCTCCTCCTACTTCCTCCCGATAATTACCTCTTCCCAGTGTCCATCCCTCCATACACTCCTGCCCCCTGAGCTGTCTCTCTGTGCATAAACAGCCCTTCTTTCTCCCATGATTGTTCTCTCCAAAGAATGTATCTACTTGAGGTAAATGTTCAACTTATATGCCTGTATTTTGTTTCGCTGGAAACCACAGGTGTGGGTTCAATTCCAGACCTGAAGGGCAGCTGGGGGCCATAGTCTCAGTGGTTCTACTAGGCTCTATCAGACCAGCAAACCTGGTCCCCACCATTTTTTTTTTTTCGCCAAATGATTTTGGGTTTTGTTCCACATTGTTCTCCCTCTCTATCAAGGATCTCTACATAGATCCCCTTCCAAGTGGATGACAGTGGTAGCCAGGCACCACCTAGTTCTTCTGTCTCATAGTTGTATAGGCTGCAGGTCAGATGGTGTACCAGTCACTAGGACTAATTGTTTCCATGAATTTTGTTTTTCTTCATTCTTCTTTGCTCTGAAAGAGGAGAGACCCATCGTTGCATCTAGATGGCAGCTTGCTAGCTTTTAAGATCCCAGCTGCTACTTGCCAAAGTAGGAGGTGGAACATGTTTTGTACAGTATGCTATGCCAATTGGGCTTGATGTCCCCTGCGACTATGGTCCCAAGCCCACAGGTTCAACTACTCGGTCCCTCTGAGTAGCTGGCTGTGACCAAGCAGTGACCACAACCTTGCCCCTTGTCAGCTCTATTATACACCTGGGAATTCTGATCATTCACATAAACTTAGAGGACCAATGTCTGCCAACCCCGTATATGTTCTTGAATACACTCCCCATTTCATAGACATAACTAATCATTTAGCCTGTCCACCCATCTATCTATCCATATACTCATGTTTGCCTTCACTGACAACGCAGTACTGTATGTGCAAAAGGGTTCGTATTTGTTGTCTGTACCTCCCATGTACCTCTTTATGTCTTTCTCATCCTCAATGCTGCCATATTGGTCACTCACATTTGGTACATTGCCCTTCTCTTCACCCAAATCAATATTTATCTCTATTTATCTAATAGCCTTCCCTCCTCTCCCCTCCCACCCCTGGTAACCAACAAAGAAAATTTCCTTCTACAGATAAACCTTTCCTTAACTTTTACAATAACGGACTAATACAATATTTGTCCTTTTGTGATTGACTTATTTCACTCAGCATAATGTCCTCCAAGTTCATCCACGTTATGTGGTGTTTTGCAGTTTCTACATTATTCTTTAGCATTGCATAGTATTCCACTGTGTGTATGTACCATAGTTTGGTTATCCATTCCTCAGCTGATGGACATCTAGGTTGTTCTCATCTTTTGACTATTGTAAATAGTGCTGCAATGAACATGGGTGTGCATATATCCATTCTTGTCATGGCTCTCACTTCTTTAGTCACCCATCAGAAACTTTCAAACAGGAACCGTTCTGTGACATCATTTGGTAGGCTCTTTCAAAGGCCACTACTCACAGCTCTTAGCCAGGGTTTAGTGTTTACATTGAGCTGCCATCCTGTGTCTCTGCCTTTTCTGGTGGAGAGTCATAGTGTAGGCAGCTCATGTCCATCCAAAGGATATGCTTCTCTTCTGCCTTTTGTTAATCAGAAAGTCTCATCTGAGCTGTGTGTTCCAGAGTTTTTATCAGTTACTAGTCAGGCCCTCAGGCAATCCACATAAAAGCCAGTTCCTGAGTTGGGTTTTTCAGCCAATGGTAGTAAAAGTCAGACTTCATAGAACTCCCCAGCCAATCTGGGTAAAGGTTGGTTACCTGGCAGGACCCTTAGCCAATCTGGGTAAAAGACAACCAGGGTGGGGCTCAGAAACCCAATTTGGTAAGCATTTTCTTAAACTAATTACATGGTACAATGACCTAGTGCCATAATTGGGGAACCTAAAGGCATATATCAGATGTCACTCTGAGAAATATGGTTTATTTCTAACCTGTGTCATGTTAAGAGACTAGTTGATAACTCAGAGATTCAAGATTTCCATCTCATCAATGTTAAAAAGAATGAGGTGAATCTATTGGCAGGGATAGGAATTAAATAATAAATAACAAGCTTACTAACAAAGACTTCTAGGTTGGTCACAAGTAGATTATAACCTTACAGGATATTAGGATTTATTTCTCAGTGAGAGTAGGAACTTCTGGAACCTCACACTGCAGAGGAGGCAATGGTTTTTGAGGTGCTTTCCAGAAAAACTCCCACATGGAGAGAAAAGCTACTACAATGAGGGTGAGTTCATAGACTTCAGCCTTATTGAAAATTGAGTTTCACTTTTGAGACCACAGTGAGTTTATCTAGAATCTCACACTTACAGGCAAACAAACATCTTGTGGGAAAATTCCTTTTATGAGAGAAAGGCTTTTAGGGGCCAGGTAATTGATATAAATGAGTGAAGCAGGATAAGTAAAGGAAGAACATGGCAATACAATAAAGCAGAATGCATGTGACCTGGTAATGGGGCTGCTCCTTCATCAGCTACAAGTAAGAGAAAACCCAAGTCAAAATGACTTAAACAATAAGGAGATTTATTGATCACATAACCATAAGTTCCAACAAAGTGACCCCATCATTCATTAATCCAGCAGTTCAGTGACATCCCTAAAAGACCCCATTTTGGTATTTTTATCTTTCTGTTCTGTCTTACTCAGTGTATCAACCCTGTCCTGCTAATCACAATATGGGTGCAACATTACCAGATAGAATATCCAGATGATGATATCCAGAAGAAAAGGCAGTGGAAACTTTTCCAGATAGTCTCCAATACACCTCCTCTCTCATTTCACCAACAAGAAAGAGGTCATATGTTTACTTCTAAATCAAAAACTGGTAAGGGAAGCAAGAGTATTATGATTGTCTTAGAGTAATAAAGATTTATACCTGAACATAATAGGAGTTCTGAAAAGCAGGAAGAAGGAAGTTATTTGGGATGCAGCCTTCGTGCTTTCTCCACCACAACTCAGCTAAGCTGATTGCTGGTATTAGCCAATGTGGTTCCAGTGTTGACAGACTATCTGATTACTTTTAAAAAGCTGGGGATCTGAAAGTTTACGCAAGAACTCTAAATTCAAAACATTTAAAAATATATGTGGTCAACATGATTCAGGCCAAATGAAATACATCTGCAGTTCAGACATGCCTGTAGGTCAGCAGTTTACAATCACTCGTTTAGGATACTATTTTTAAAAATAAAATTTTTTATGTATACATAAAATTCACTTTTACCTTGTCAGTAATTGAGTTTTATAAATATTTATGATAGAACATTTTTTTTATTTTTTTAGTTAGTAAGGACAGCATCACCAGATAATGTCAGAAGGAGATACCTTACATAAACCAGATAAAGCTAACTTTACTTTCTTCTAAACTGAGCCTTCTAATGTTATCGGTAAGTTAGTTGTTAAAACAATCAAGATACTTTAATAATAAATGTAGAATTTTTCTTCCTCTTCATCCAGTCTCCTATGATTTTTTTTTTTTTTTTGGCTTGTTTTTCATTAGAGAGTTAATTAATTTCTACCAAAATGAGAAAATAAAGGTGTTCAAAGTATTTAAGCAAATATTTCAGCATTATAGTAAAAACAAACAACAACAACAGAATATTGGAATGGAAAGTCACTTAATCAAAGATTTCAGCTTCACAGCTTCTTCACAGTCATCTTCCTGTCCAAGAGTATTGGGCATATAAATCTTAAATTTATAGATTTTTAAGGGTACACTTCATTTGAAAAGTCTCTTCTAATCTCTTAAAAATATATGACTCAAGAAATGGTCACTTCTTGGACCTCAAAAGCAAATAGTAATAAAAAGTAGGTATATTTCTCTTCAATCCAGACTGTCCAGACTTCTAAATTGATCATTTATCCAACAATTCTTGCTTAGCTGTTGCTTCAGATTTTTGGATTTGAGCCCTAAAAAAACAAAACTCTTACATCATTAATTTTTTATTAATAATCTAGATATTTTATGTTATGTAATTATAAAGTACACACAGTCCCTGGTTTGTGAACAAGTCCTGTTCCTAAGGCTGTCTTTAAGTCAGATTTGCATGAAGTTGGGAACAGTTAGGTACAGTTTGTATCTGACATTGTTAGTCAAATGTTTGTCTTAGAATATAGTACATAGTGTACCACTTTATTAAAAAAATTAAAGAAATACTTCCAGATACACTAAAACATCTTTAACATAACAGTGCAGTAACAATAATAATGTTCTGATGTGTATCACAAAGTAGTGCCCACTGGTTATTATGAACTATTGCATGTTTCTCAATTTTTAATATTATAGGCTTTATGGATATTGGTTCATAACTACAGATTGTATGCAAAGCAGATGTTTGTAACCTAGGGACTGCCTGTCTTAGAAATTAAAATTAATTCTTTGTAGTTATACATTCTATTATATAGGTACTTGATACATCAACTGCGAAGGGATGGAAGCATTTCATAGGAAAGAGAGCAAGAAAACTGCACACTGAGATCCATATGTTCACATAACCAATCAGAATAATATGAAAACAATAGGGAACAGGAAGTGAGTTGTGAGGTAATAGATGATCATACTGTGGGACATCTTTTTCATTACCTCCATCCCACTGGGTAGATTTCTGAGAGAATGAGTAGTGGGGTCATCAGATCCATCTAGCTAAGACCCTTCCATCTTCCTCCTTTTGGTTATTGGTCAAACTCAAAATAAAGATATTCACCCACCACAGAATCATATAGATACTCTTCTTGGTGGACTTCTTAAGAAGACATGGCTGAAACTCCTCTCCTCAATATTAGGAGTGTTACAAGGCTTGACAGATTTAGCTATGGATCTCTTACCTTAGATGTAGATATTGGCTTATCCTTGGGAACAGTAGAGGGAAGTATTTTTGTATCTTTATGCTATATTAGGGACAAAAGTAAAGCTAGATCATTACAAATGCTAAGCTTATGCTTATCTCCTTACCTGAAATCATTCTTCACCCCTTCTTCACCCATTTAAATTCTCCCCAAATTTCAGATTCTGGTTCAAATTTCAAGTACTCAGGTATTGGAACTTTCTTCAACTTTAACCATTCTGACTCTCAATTATTTTCCCTCCAGCATTTTCTTATTGTTGGTAGTGATCATTTTAACACAAATAATAACTGAGGAATTGCATGCTCTGTAAGCACATGGATCATTTTCCCACAGAAAATGTAAAAACTTTCATGGAAAAAAAGGAACTTAACTTTTAGCTCTTTTTCATTTACTCAGAACAGAATACCATACCAAAAACTAGCAAAAATTTTCAATAATTACTTGATGAATTCTAATTTTTACTTTAGAACAGCCTAACTTTTACTTGGTTTGCCTATATGTGGTCTAATTTCCATACCCATCATCTTGCAGGAAACTGTGACTAAAAATAAATTTCTTTTATGATGAATAATAAAATTATTATTTATACAGTTAAATTTTAAATTTCCCAAAATAATCATCTGGACATGATCTTTTTGAAGGAAATAGTTCTTTTTGAAAGAACTATTTATAATTTCTTAATAATTAAATAGGGGAGCTCTAGTGGCATAGCGCCTAAGGCATTTGACTGCTAACCAGAAGACTGGAGATTCAAACCTACCAACCTTTCCTCGGAAGGAAGATTGGGCTGTCTACTTCCGTAGTGATACTGCCTCAGACACCCAAGGAGGGGTCACTATGAGTCGGATCCAAGAATTAATACCCACAATAATGTATAGACAATAATACAAGTCTCATATTCTAAGATATCCCTAAGACAAAAGTATTATCATATCTCACATTAGCCCAGGGAATGAACATTCTGATAAAGAACCCATTGATATAGGATGCCATTCTCACTGGGTATATAGAAAAAAAACATTAAAAAATAAAATTAAATTAAATCATTCACTGACCATCTGATACTTACAAGGAAAGAGGATGATACAGATGTAGGAATTGGTGGTGGTGGAAAATTCGGCTTTGTAAGTAGCTAGTAAGAAGATAAAGATTTTTAATGCAAGGATGGGACCTTGAAAATAGGTGTGCTTCTTGGAAAAGGTTAAATAATTTTCAGAAATAGAGAACTTATAGCCCCTGTGAACAAATCTCCTCGGAAGGAAGGTTGGGCAATCTACTTCCATAACGATACTGCCTCGGAAACCCAAGGAGGAGTCGCTATGAGTTGGGTCCGACTCAACAGCACGTAACAACAACAACAATGAACATATCTAAACCTAGAAGTTTGATTGCTTTCATCCAGCTGCACACATGCAACTCAGAAATGATTCCAATCACAGTGGGTGCATGATGGGAGCTATGAAGCAGAGTAGCAGTTCTCATCTTCCTAGCTGGGTATACAGGTTTAGGGGAACTTGGGGGTATAAAAGAGTTGCCAGCATTCTCACATTTTATATTTTCAGAAGTATTGCAGAAGAATCTATATGTTATATTAATATTCACACAGATTGCCACATTCTTCTCAAAAGAAATAACAGGGACTTCCTCCATTAATATTTTCTGGAGGTTGGACTGGGGTGATATTACCATAGAAATTTCTGCACTCACAAAAGAAGCTGGAGGCTCATTGCCTTCTCCTGGCAGTTCAGACACATTGAGCTTGATCTCACTCATCTAAAAAGTAAACAATATTTTTAAATGAAAACATAACTTCCATAAGTATAGCTACCGAGTAAGAAATACTTTCAAGGCATGGATGTTCAGACCTAAGGTGAACCCAAGAGACTAGACTAGAAATCACTATGACCTGGTTACTGCATTTTGGGGTGTATGAACCATCATCACGCACTGGCAAGTTGCCATAAAAGCATTTTGTTATCATTAACCAACTTTAGTGAAAATCTCTAAACTTGCAAGGACATAACCACAGAATTAGAGATTGATATACAGCAGGGATTGCAGAGCTGGCTCGGGACCTAATGGTGTTTCATTCTGCTGTGTGTAGGTTCGCTATGAGTCAGAGACGACTTGACGGCACCTAACAACAACAACAATACACATTGTTGTTTCTATAAGGAAATGGCAAAAGAAATAAGGAATCAATCTCGAGTCAGAGAGAGACATCTTGCATCTGCTTCCTCGTGTTCTCTTTATTATCATTGTATTTCATGAACTTGAGCAAAGTATGCTCACATTTAAGAGAGAGACTCTCTTTTGCATTTAACAAAGGCAAAGGAGGATGTCCTGAACTTTGTATTTACAGAGACTGCAGTCCTTACCATATATTAAATGCTGGGATAGATTTGTAAAACACTGCAGGGTAGAAATGATAGATAAGTGGTTAGGATAAGAGAATAGCATTATTACAAACTTGAGCCTGTGGCATCACTAACAGGAGCGGGAGGTGTGGACCATATTGTGTGACAGTGTCAGAAGGAATGACACTAAAATGATTGTTCATAAAACTGTTGTGCAGTGTTTCAGCTAAAATGTATTACTTTTTTATAAAAATATCCCTGTGGTTAGTTATAACAACAAAAACATTTTTTCATAAGCCCATCTTGCATGTATCAATATACCCATGAGGCTAAAACTCTGGTCAGAGCTATCATTATTACCCATTACAATGATGCTTTGAATCACTTGGTTTCATCAGCAAGTGCTACAAACATGCACTGTTGTTTCCATTGCTGCTGATGTTTTTATAGTCTGATATTGTCAAATTTTATGGTGTTTTAGCTACAATATTGTGGTAATTAGTATCTGTGGAATTTTATCAATAACTTTCTGAGAAACTTATTGTAATTAAAGGAAAAGGAGGAAAAAAATAAAAACAGATTTCCATTCAGTTACTAATAATGTTATGACAAATAACATTGTAATACAACACAGAAAAATTTTACAAAACAATTTTGTTGTTAGTATTCATATAATTTAAGAAATACTACACTTAAAAATCAGAAGGAAGGTTGGGCAATCTACTTCTGTAGTAATACTGCCTCAGAAACCCAAGGGGGGTCGCTATGATTTGGGTCCGACTCAATGGCAAACAACAACATACTTTAAAAATTTACAACTATAATTATCATATATTCTTCTATGATTAAAATTAATAATAAAATTTACTAAGAATTCCATATGATCTGGTATGGGAGGAGGACCATGGGGAGGGTTGACAGTATGAGTTACCACACTGATGACACCAACCCTGGTGACACTACTGCCTATGACAAACAGTACAAATTATAGTCTACCTCCTGAGGCTGAACAGCTTTTGCCATCTGGGGTTTCCTCTTCTGTTTGTGTAGTCTGGCTCCAGTGCTGGACAGTGGCCTGCGAGTAAAAACATTTCACATAAATTGACTTAACAGTTCCTGCAGTATGATGGGGAAATTGTAATTCTGTCAGATCAAAATATATCATCTTCCTTTGCCTATCGTGTCATTTTTGGTTAATGCCTGGCTTTTTATTTGCTCCCTAGTGGATTATTCCACTTTCATTTTCCTGTTAGCTTCCTTCTTGTCCTGTAATTTATAACTACCACCAATGATTTTCTTTTTCATTCTTTTCAGAGCCCTGCCTCTTAATGATGATGGTGTTGATCTCCAATTTTCAATAAATTATATAATTAATGATTTTATTCAATATTTATTTAAAAATTCATTATGGGTAAATAAATCAGACTTATAGAATGCTAGAATGTTGTCATAGCATCAAGACTATGCCCTGAAGATGAACTGATCTAGATACAAATCAAGTTTCCATTATGTACTTTGTAAGACTTTAAACTAGTCATTAACTCCATTGAGTTTCTATGTTTTTATTTCCACATTAGGAAAAATGTAAACGTTCTTACTTGTAAGATTGTTGTAAGGAATATATATATATATATATGTGTGTGTGTGGAGCTCTGGTAGCATAGTGCCTAATGCACTTGACTGCTAACCAGAAGGCTGGCGGTTCAAACGTACCAGCCACTCCTCAGAAGGAAGATGGGGCAATCTACTTCCGTAGTGATACTGCCTCAGAAACCCAAAGGGGGTCGCTATGAGTTGGGTCCCACTTAACGGCATATAACAACAACTATGTTGTTGTTGTTGTTGTTATATGCCATCGAGTCGGCCCCGACTCATAGCGACCCCTCCTTGGGTTTCCGAGGCAGTATCACTATGGAAGTAGGATTGCCCAACCTTCCTTCTGAGGAGTGGCTGGTGGGTTTGAACCGCCAGCCTTCTGGTTAGCAGTCAAGTGCCTTAGGCACTATGCTACCAGAGCTCCTAACAACAACTATATATATATGCGTATATATATATATACGCATATATATATGCACATATATATATACATACGCGTGTATATATATATATATTTATTTATTCTTATATAAATATAAAAACTTTTATCTATAAAATATAACACCTTTTTGTCTGTATAAATGGAAATAATAACTACTTGTTGTGAGGACTAAATGAGATAGTGGACGTAAAATAGCTTAGCATACTGCTTGTCATAAACTTAGTGATCAGTAAGTGTTAAATATTGTATTCTTATAATAATGCAAATATTTTAAATAATGGGAGTTATTATCATTGTTGTTAGTTGTAAATATTGCAACTAACATAAAGAAAATGACACATATATTGTTGTAAAGGAGTCTTAGTAAAAGGTATACCCAGCCTCTAGTACAAGAACACAAAAACAAAAAAGTCTGCACATTTTTCTGAGTACTTGAAATGAACTAAAGTTAAATTTGAGAAGCTAGGTTATACTTTTCAAGTTAGTTAAATAAGGGCCAAAAAGGTCTTTGAAGAAAGATAAAGGCTTACCTCTTTACTTTCTTGTGCTTTCCTCTGATGCTCTGGTGCCGGATTACTGTAGCAATCACCACAAATATGACAGCCACTGGGAACAGCACCCCAACCACAATGGAAAAGTCTGAAACAGGAGGGGCCTAGTCAGGAGGATGAGAAGTTCACATCTATTCCTCACATTAGTCATAATTTCTTTTCCTTACCTATTGTGTCATTTACATGACACAGGGAGCATACATTCCCTGGAAAATTTCTCATAACTAATGTGCCAATGTTTAAAATGTATTTCGATCATGTTTATTGCAAAAATATTTAGATAAAGAAAATAAATATGAAGCATTAAATATGAGATACATACAGCAATATACTAATGAGATTTCTGAGAAGAGATGATGTTTGCAATAACTGAGAAATCTTTAGTTTGGGAAGAACATATGGAGGAAGAAGGGTGGTAGAGCAGGAGTGAAACATTTTAAAAATGAACCCTTGAAAGAAACAGAGAAAAAGAAACTGAAGCTTTGATATTATATTTTTGTTAGTAGAAAAATAGGAGCTGAGATGGGAGTAAAAGAATTAATAAAGATATAGCTGGGTGTTCTGAAGTTTCTTCTATATTATGATTAGAAAAAAAAGTTATATATATAAAAAAAAATCAAGCTCACTGCCCTCAAGTTGATTCCAACTCATAATGACCCCCATTGGGTTTCCAAAGGTATAAAACTTTATGGAAGCAGACTGCCTCATATTTTTTTCCATGGAGATTTGGACCATTGACCTTCAGGTTAGCAGCCAAATGCCTTAACCACTGCACCACCAGATCTCCTTTAGAGAAATGCTAAATGCCTCCACTTACATAAAGTTCAAAAACAGGAAAAATTAAAAATATGTTGTTTAAGAAAATTAACCTATGGAAAAAAGTAATACCCTCCGCCCCATACACACGCTCCCTATTGTGTTCTTAGGTGCCATCAAGTCAGTTTTGACTCATAGTGACTCAATGTGACAGAATAGAACAGCCTCATAGTGTTTTCTAGACTGTAATCTTTTCAAGAACAGATCTCTGTGTCTTTCTCCTATGGAGCTACTTGGTTTGTTTGAACTGCCAACACGTCAATTAGCATCCAAGCACTTGACTATTGTGGCACCAGGGCTTTTAACACTAGTCTGCTTTGTCTTAATGTTGAATAGTAGTGGTAAGAATGAAATCCTTGTCTTGTTCCTGATCTTTCTGTAATTGATTTCTAATTCCAACTTTGTTTGGAGAATAACCCCCCCCAAAAAACCAAACACACTGCTGTGGAGTCAGATCCAACTCATAGCAACCCCTTTTGGGTTTCTGAGGCGGTATCACTACCGAAGTAGATTGTCCAACCTTCCTTCTGAGGGGTGGCTTGTGGGTTTGAACCGCCAGCCTTCTGGTGAGCAGTCAAATGGCTTAGGCACCCCACCACCAGAGTTCCCTGTTCAGAGAATACACTTTATATTATTGATATTTGTTTTATGGCCTAGTTTGAATGTTTCTAAATCCATTAATAAAACGGGTAGAATTCAAAAGGAAGCTTACTGTATTGGAAGGTGCCCTGGTTGTCCAATGGTTAACCAAATGGGTGGTGGTTCAAACCTACCAGCTGCTCTGCTGGAGATAATATAAGGCAGCCTACTTCCATAAAGATTACAGCTTTGGAAACCCAATGAGGTAGTTCTATTCTGTCCTTTAAGGTTGCTATGAGTTAGAATCTACTCTACAGAAACAGATTTGGTTTACTTTGGGTAACTATATTGGAATATAGGAATCAAGATACTAAACACTAAAGTTTCAAACAAGTGATAAGCATATATGATATTTGAAGATGTTGCAACAACTATAATATGATATAACAATATTTGTAATATCTCTCCTCAGAACAATCAGTGATGTGAGACAAAAAGGAAAGGCTTTGCCCAAAAGCAAAGTTAATAAGTCAAGAAAGGGCTATGAAAACTAGATGAACTGAAATGAAGAAAGCAAGTGGAAATGGGGAGAATACTGACACATAGTGGGATTGTAACTGAAGTCGTTGAACAATCTGTGTATAAATTACTGAATAGGAAATTAGTTTGCTTTGTAAACTTTCCTCTAAACCACAATAAAACTAAAAAAAAATAAATAGTTAAAAATTATATTTGTAGGTTTTTTTGTGATGAAGTCACAGGAATTGCTAATAATGCTGTGGTTTGTTGACTTATGTTCTTATAGTTGGAGAAAATAAATTTCAGCTAGAATTAGATGAAAAGAGAGATCTAATTTTTCCTATTCAAATTGAGATTTAGAATCCCTGCTTATTTTGAAAAATATCATCCCCTGGGGTCCTTCCTGTTGGTGATAGGAAGGGTTTTCCACAATGGAAAAGTCTGAAACAGAGAACACAAAGGCTTAGTCAGGAAGATAAGAAGTTCACATCTAATTTTGTTGTTAGTTTTCATATAATCTAAGAAATACTATACTTATGAAATTTACAAATATAATTATCATATATTCCTGTGCAAGTGAGGCTTTTCTTAATGATAGAATCAGAAGTAGCCCTGGAATTATAACCAAACATACCAATCCGATGTCTCATAAAAAAAGAAAAAATTGATGGGTAAAATTGAATGATTTCATGATGGTATGACACAGAATAAGTTATTTAGAGAAAACATCTCCCTATTTGTAGATGGGAATACAAGTAGCACTCTAGCTGCCTACTTGGTCCTCTGAAGATATAAATCTATGTAATATAATGTAAACTTTCATCACCTGTCCAAGTAAGGAGCTCTAGTGGTGTAGTGATTAAGGCAATTGGCCTTAATCAGTGGTTCAAACCTACCAGCTGCTCCGTGGAAGATGGGGCAGTCTGCTTCCGTAAAAATGTACAGACTTAGAAACCCAAAGGTGGTCACTCTGAGTCAGAATCCACTTGATGGCAGTGAGTTTGGTTATTGGTTTTGGTCCTCCAAGTAAAGAATTTCAAGGAATACTCTAACAATGCATATCAGAATAGATCCTAACATCTTGAATGATAAATAATTAAGGAAATAAAATACAAACAACAATATGGATACTATAAAAAGATTACATATAAAATAATATATGGAAATATAATACAGAGAAAAATAATTTTTCAGAAAAAAATAATAAAGAATCAAAGCATATAAGGGTAGCATCTGCTTGATTACTAGTTTTACTGATTGTTGTTGAGTCACCTCTAACTCCTGGTGACCCCATGTGTATTAAAGTAGAACTGTACTCATAGGGTTTTCAATAACTGATAGTTCAGAAGTAGGTCATGAAACCTTTCTTCTGAACTTCCAGACTTTTGGTTAACAACCAACCATGTTAACCATTTGTAGCACCCAAGGACTCCATCCAAGCTACAAGATAAAGCCCCTAGAACTACTCTCATGAGGAGTGAGGCTTGCAGGGGCCTGAGAAGCAGAGCACAAGCTAACTGCGAACACACATACTACATTACATAGAGAAGGAAAATGGAGGAGAGCTGGTGAAAAGCAGCTTTCTCAAAAGGAAAATATGATAAAGAGCTCTCTCCTCAAGCTAAAGTACTCCTCACCTTGGTGACTGAGGTTAGGGTCCCCATTCTGACTGCATCCCACCCAAATGGTCTTCCTACCCTGCCTACCTTCTAACACAGAGCTCATAGCTAGATTCCCATCAGGGGAGGTATATGTAAGTACAACAAGCATACAAAGATAGGGAAAAAAAAAAAAATCTGACCTAATTTAATTCAGCTTAATCCCTCCTTCAACTAAGGATTAGTGTATCCTGACTTTGAAACAAAATAAAAGAAACCAAAACAAACAATGGTAACAACAACAAACCCAGCACAATGAAATAAAAGAGGCAGGGTGAATAAACAGAACAATCAGACTTACAAGAAAAAGAGATAATTCAGAGAAAAGAATTGAACCTAACATCACACGCCCCCAAAAAAAATCTATTTCACATTCTCAAAGAGTTTTTTTTGAGAATATTATATGTATGAATTTCGTAGAGGTGGCCATAAAAGAAAGAAATCATGAAACAAGAAAACATGGGAAATTAACATATAAAATTTTAGGAAATCTTTTAAGGCGCTCTGGTGGTGTAGTGTTTAAAGCATTTGGCTACTAACTAAAAGGTTGGGTGGTTTGAACTATGGGAGAAAGATGAAGCAGTCTACTTCTGTAAATATTTACACCCTTGGAAGCCCTGTGGGGCAGTTCTACTCTGTCCTAAATGGTAGCTATGAATCGAAATCTACTTGATGGCAGTGGGTTGATTTTTTTCTTTTTTTGGATCATGTTTTTAATATCTATATGATAAAGATTCCAAGAAGAAAGAAAATAGCAATGAAATCTTGTAAAAACATGGATGAAGAGAGCAGTTTTCTGAGCAGATGTGTAATGTTACCTACGGAAGACCACTGTGGAGTCATCACAGTCAGGTGGGGCCCAACCTTCTTTACACTGACACTGCAGCTCATGGTCACACACCTAGAGGATCAACCATCTGATTAGTATTCCCACCAGAACCACCATAACATCAAAGGCTTATTCATGCATGAAGATGGAAAAGGAATAATGCCTGCTCTGTCTCATTTCATCTATAATGTATCGATCAATAATAGGAATTTCATTAATGGACTTGTAAAAGAAACTTTGCATTGAACCACACTACTGAAGGGTTAACAAACATAATTCCAATCATTTCATGTTGAAAAGATTACGTTAGCCTTGTCACAACTGACATAAAATTATATAAGACTTGTAAAACTTAGGGAATCGTTTTCTAAAAACTTACAGCGTGTCCTTTGCATTTAGATGAGCAATTGGTTGATTTGTAGGCTTTCTCGATATCCATACATTCTGCATTAATGCAAACCTGAAAGTGATGTGAAATACAGAAAGCTGACATTAATGTCCAGTGGTTTTAGCTTGACTTTTTGCAATTTAGTCTTATATGTTATTAATCACTGTTATTGTGATGTGGTAAATGATGAAGTGAAAGAGCTGAACAGAAGATTTCAAAAGACAGCTCAAGAAGAAAAAGTAAAACAATTATTACCCTAATCCTGTCCTACCATTGTATTTCAAGAGCAGATAATTTGTTTTCTAGTATTCAGGTCCACAGATGGAGAGCAATTTTGCTTCAGCATGAAATACATGAAATACACTGAGAACCTCACTCATACTTAATTTAGATAAGGAGAGTTGAGACTGAGCTGATGAGATTTAAATGAGATTTTAGACTTGAGCTGGTACGGGAATTAGTTGACTTTTGGAGGACCTTGGAATGTGGTGAATGTATTTTGCATTTGGAATGAACATAAATATTTAGGAGCCAGTGGGCAGAGTATGGTAGAATAATGACTCCCAAAATGCCCATGTCCTAATCTACATAATCTGTGAGTATGATATTTGACACAGGAAAAGTACATTCACCTGGTCAGTAGTTTTATAAAATATTGGTCAGCTTGGGGTTTCTGATGTATTCTCATGATTAGATTGAGGTTTTGTATTTTGGGGAAGAAATGATATATTGCCCTTCTTAGGACCTCATTCATACAAGATATTGGCATATCTTTTTACTCATGATGTCATACTTTTCCACTATAAAGTCACTATTTTCCTCCTTGTCATTAATAAATATAATACGGGGAGATATGCTGAGACCATACTAATATCTTGCCCACCAATTTTATTATCTGTTAATGGCTCTTTTGGTGGCAGTGAGTTTGGTTCTTTCTGGTTTGGTCTGAAAATTACTGTAATCTTTTTGTGGTCGTTCTCTATGTTTCTCATTCTCTCTACATTTGTTAATTTTAATTCTACTGTAACAAAGAGCTGTTCTTTCTGCCATACGCATTTATTATATCACTATGTAGTCAACCATATTTATTTTAGTCTATGGGTTACAACTCAGTATCACTATTCACACTATTAATTCATTGCTCAAATATTTCAGCTTTGATCAAGAGCAATTTCAAGTTGGTCCTTGACCTTACATCATTTCCCTATCATTTTGTAGCACTTCTTTACTATCTGGCTCCACAAGACATTCCAGTCTCATCTTGTATGTTCTGTACTCCAGCCCTGGAATCAGCTAGTTCTCCACAAAGCCCTGATTCTTTATTGAGACACCAAAATGTAGGTGCTAAATGTGCTTATTGTTATTAGAATGTTATCAGGTCTAAAGGGGGAAAAAAGAAGAAGAACACAAAGTAAAGTGTTATAAGGAAATGTACAAAGATCTGGAGTTAAAAAAGCGGGGAGGGGGGATAAACATGCTCAGCATTTCTCAAGCTGAAAGAACTGAAGAAATAATTCAAGCCTTGAGTTGCAACATTGAAGGATTCTATGGACAAAATATTAAATGATGCAGGAAGCATCAAAACAAGGTAGAAGGAATATACAGTGTCATTGTATCAAAAAGACTTGGTTTAAACCCAATAATTTCAGGAAGTAGCATATGATTAAGAACCAATGGTATTGAAGGAAGAAGTCCAACCTGCACTGAAGCAATTGGTGAAACACAAGGTGCCAGGAATTGAAGGAATGTCAATTGAGAGATTTCAGCAAATGGATGGAATGCTAAAAGCACTCACTTGTCTATGGCAACAAATTTGGAAAACAGCTACTTGGACATCCGACTGGAAGAGAACCATATTTGTGCCCATTCCAAAGAAAGAATATCCAACAAAATGTGATAATTATTAAACAATATCATTAATGTCATATGCAAGTACAATTTTGCTGAAAATAACTCAGAAATATTTGCAGCAGTACATTGGCAGGGAGTTGTCAGAAATTCAAACTGGATTCATGAAAGGATACAGAATGAAAGACATCATTTCTGATGTCAGATGGTTCTGGGCTGAAAGCAGAGAATAAATGAAAGATGTTTACCTGTGTTTTATTAACTATACAAAGGCATTCAAGTGTGTGTGTCATGACAAATTATGGATAATACTGCAAAGAATAGGAATTTCAGAACACTTAATTGTGCTTGTGAAGAACTTATCCATAGACCAAGAAACAGTAGTTTGCACAGAAAAGAGGGTACTGCATGGTTTAAAATCAGAAAAGGTGTGTGTCAGGGTTGTATCTTTCCACCATACTTAATCAATTTGTATGCTGAACAAATAATCTGGGAACCTGGACTATATGAAGAAGAAAGTGCCATCATGATTGGAGGAAGGCTCATTAACAATCTGTGATATGCAGATGACACAATTTTGCTTGCAAAGGAGGATTTGAGGCATTTAACTGAAGAGCAAATACTATAGTCTTCATTATTGAATGCAGCTCAACACAAAGATATAAAAAATTCTCACACCTGAACCAGTCAGCAATATTATGTTAAATGAAGAAAATATTGAAATTGTCAGGGATTTCATTTCACCTGGATCCACAACCAATGCCCAATAGAAATAGCAGTTAAAAAATCAAATGACCAAACTCACTGCTGTCGAGTCGGATCTGACTCATAGTGACCCCTTCTTGGGTTTCTGAGGCAGTATCACTATGTAAGTAGATTGCCCAACCTTCCTTCTGAGGAATGGCTGGTGGGTTTGAACTGCCAGCATTCTGGTTAGCAGTCAAGTGCCTTAGGCACTATGCCACCAGAGCTCCCAAATAACATATTACAGTGGGTAAATCTGGTGCAGAGGACCTCTTTAAAGTGTCAAAAAGCAAAGACTTTGAGATTTAAGGTGCATTTGACCATGGTATTTTTAATCACTTCTTAGGCATGTGAAAGTAGACAATGAATAAATAACGAAGATCAAAAAAGAATTGTTCCGTTTGAAATAAGGTGTTGGCAAAGAATATTGAATGGCAGAAGCACGAACAAATATGTCTTGCAAGAAGTACAGCCAGAATGCTCCTTAGAAGTGAAGATGATGAGTCTTCTCACATATTCTGGGCATGTTATTAGGTGGGACCAGTCCCTAGAAAAGGACATCATGCTTGATCAAGTAAGGGATCAGAGGAAGACTCTCAGTGCCATGGATCTCGCACAGTGGCTGCAACAATTGGCTCAAACATAGGAATGATTGTGATGATGGTGCAGGACCAGGGAGTGTTTCATTCTATTGTATATTCAATAGCACCTAATAACAACAACAAATGTTGTAATCAAAATTATCTCTTTATTAAGAAAATCAGAGCATTCTTTTGAAAAAGGAAGATGAGATAATTTTTATAATAAAATGAGAAGTCCTCCTTGGAAAAGACTTTCTTCCTTCATTTCATTCTTTGTGGATCATTTCCTTAATCTACAACCTCAGTCAACTGCTAAGAATGATATTTTAGCACAGAACTAAGCACTGCACATAATATCAAATGCCATTCCAAAGGAAAATATTTAAAAACTACATACTAGTACCTCTTTGAATCTCTGGTGGTGTAGGGGAGATGTGGTGGTGTAGTGCCTAAGGCATTTGACTGATAACCATAAAGCTGGTGGCTCAAACCTACCAGCCACTCCTCAGAAGGAAGATTGGGCAATCTATTTCCATAGTGATACTGCCTTGGAAACCCAAGGAGGGGTCCCTATGAGTTGGATCCAATTCAACCGCTGTGAGTAGGCATGGGAATGCTGGAAAATGATAAGGAAAACCAAAGAAGAGTTGATATTGTGGTGCTGGTGAAGAATCTTGAAAATATAATGGAATACCAGAAGAACAATCAAATCTGTCCTGGAAGAAGACAGACTTGGAATGCTCCTTGGAAGCAAGAATGGCCAGACTTCATCTTACCTACTATGGTCATATTGTCAGAAGGGAGTCTTCCTTGGAGAAGGATATCATGCTTGGTAAAGTAGAGGGTCAGTGAAAAAGGGGAAGAGCTTCAATGAGATGGATTGACACAGTGGCTGCAACTATGGGCTCAAGCATAGCAAGGATTGTGAGGATGGCACAGGACTGGGCAGTATTTCATTCTGTTGTGCGTAGGGTACCCAGGGTTGCTTTGAATTGGAGCTGACTCAATGGTATCTAACAACAAAAACAATATCATGTCATGTGAAATATTAAATTAATTATGTTGTTGTTGTTGTTGTTATGTGCCGTCGAGTCAGACCCGACTCATAGCGATCCCTCCTTGGGTTTCCGAGGCAGTATCACTACGGAAGTAGATTGTCTCATCTTCCTTCTGAGGAGTGGCTGGTGGGTTTGAACCGCCAGCCTCCTGGTTAGCAGTCAAGCGGCTTAGCCACTACGCTACCAGAGCTCCTAAATTAATTATAATTTATATAAATATCAATAATTCATATAAATATAAATAATATTCTTATTGTTTTATTTATTATTATCAAAGTGACTATTATTTGTTGAGTAGCTACTAACTTTCATGTACTAAAATTTGCTAAGTGTAACAATCCAGTATTAATAGATACTTTGTAAATATTATCAAAGCAATGAATGAATATATGCATAAATGAATAGCATAACCATTGTTTTGAAAACTATGTGTTATGTAACAACAAGAGGTAGCCACAGGATTGGGAGTTTGGTGTCCTTCCCATACCTGACTTTACCCAGAGCAACTCCATTTTTTTAAAAAAATATATATTTAGAATTCCTCAGATGATCTCATTTGAATAAAAGATTCTACCGCCAAAAAGAAGTTTGAAAATTTTTGCTATTGAAGATCCAAATACATAACAATTCAAATTTATTAACATACATGGCAGGTGGTGTTGGTTGTCACAGACACCTGGCTTTATCTATATCCTGGGCATGCATGCACCCCAGGATGCCTCAGGCCTTCTTTATTTTTAAAGGTGAATTGCCAAGAACCTCAGACAACTATAATAATTTCCTTTCCCTTGACAGGCATAAGTTTAGGAATGGACAGCTGATATAATTTTGGGCAATAAAAAATAATGCCAATTCTTCTGGGAGGGTGTCTGGGGAAAAACTCTTTATAGAAAAGATATTTGAGGAAAACCTTTCCTTTTCTGCTTCTGCCATTAGCATCTGTGTGTGTGGCTTGAAAATGGGTAGCGATCCTGGACCATGAGAGGAGTCAGCTTGAATGGATGTGTCAGCAATCTAAGAAGGCAGAAGGTAAAGATAAAAGGAACCTGGGTCCTTGGTGATGACATTTACTACTGCATTAATTACAAAGGAACCCCAATTCCTCTACCTCTGAACTTTTGGTTATGAAATAATGGATATCCTAATTGTTTAAGTCAGTTTTAGTTATTTTTCTCTCCCTCTGTAATCTAAAGCAACCTAACTCATGCAGCATGTGAACTGGTATTATAGGGTGACAGTCTTAAGAAAAGAAATATTATAAAATCAAAAATGAATTATATATTTGTAATAATAATTAAGAAAGAAAGAAAATTTGCAATTGTGACCTACAAACAGAAATCAAGTGACTTGTAGAAATAATATTTTGCAACAAAGATTTCAATAAATAAAGGTTTGCAGGCCTTGAGATTGAATCATTTCTGTTATAGTTGAGAAAATTGAGATGTATAGGAGTTTAACAGATGGTGGTTAAAGAGTTCTCTGGCATGTAGTTATTATGGGAAGGTCTAAAGACACACAATATTTTTTATTGTGTCCCTGTATGGAGGAGCAGGGGAGGAGAATTGGATGTTAACTCTAGAGCTCATCTTGTTGCTTTTAGTTAAGCTAACTCATAAAGATTGATAAAGGATACCTAAATATCTTTCTATTAAAAAAAATCCCAAATCATTCTATACTTCAGAAGCAATAACTATGTAAATTAAAAGATAAGCATCAATAATAAGGATGGTGTTAATACCAGGGGATTCCTTAACCCAATCATCTCTTCTCTCCTTAAGTTCCCAGGGAGATATATGGTCAATTATTAAAACACTCATACCAGAGGGACTTGGCCCTATAAAAGACAGAAAAAGGGATCATAATGTTTTTGAAATGCTTTCTAATATCTTTGAAAGTTTCACCACTAGAAAACATGAATGAATTTGTATCTGGAAACTGTCAAATTCAATTAAAGAATTTTCCTATTTTATGTGGAAATCTTGCCCTTGATTTTGACTTATCCATCAGGAAATATAGTGGGAAAGTAGAAAAGTGTTATAAATATCTGCTAGAAGCAATAATTAACATTTTAATTTCAAATCCATATGCATGAATAGACTTTTCTAAATCTGTATTTGTAGGTGCCATGGGCTCAGAGACCATGCCAACTCCATTTACTTTTTTATCTATAGAACTGATCAGACTATTTTGTACAACTAGAGGAGCTCTGGTAGCATAGTGGCTAAAGCACTTGACTGCTCACCAGATGGCTGGCGGTTCAAACCCATCAGCCACTCCTCGGAAGGAAGGTTGGGCAATCCTACTTCCGCAGTGATACTGCCTCGGAAACCCAAGGAGGGGTCGCCATGAGTCAGGGCTGACTTGACGGCACATAACAACAACAACAACAGGGAGTCAATAGGAGCTCTAGTAGCACAGTGCCTAAGGCATTTGACTGCTAACCAGAAGGCTGGCGGTTCAAACCCACCAGCCACTCCTCAGAAGGAAGGTTGGGCAATCTACTTCCATAGTGATACCGCCTCGGAAACCCAAGGAGGGGTCGCTATGAGTCAGGTCTGACTCAATGGCACATAACAACAACAAGGAGTCAATAAATATTTACTGACTTAAACTTTATTCTTCATAATTACTTCCTAAAATGTTTTACAAGCAATGTCGACATTGATCCTTTAAGTTCAGTTAATCAGTTAATAAATGTACATTTAAATAGCCAAAAAAGGTCAAGTAAATAAGATAACATATTCAAGAATTATTTTACCTCAATGGAAAGTCAGGGTAACTCTTGGGTAGTATAAATATCTTAATGCTATAAACAGGGTAACTGTAATATTCTATGAGATACGATCCTCCTTATTATCAATGCTAATATGTTGGTCCTGGCTAAATAGCTTTTGTGTCTGGGATTAGGAGATTGTTGTACTGTCAATGGATGTATAGACCTGTTAACTGAAGCCCACACTCTGGGACATTCAGGTTTTCAGACCTAGTTAGGAAAGCAAAACACATGCAGCTATGTGCTATCAGCATGAAAATTAAACTCGTCTTCAAATTGTATCTAAGAGTCAGTTATTTCCAAATATTGTCATGCTGTTTGATCAAGAATATTATTAGTGATCCTTATTGGTTATTTACCAGATGGTCTACCAGTTACTTCTCTCATGGTGCTACATTTAAAATCCCTACCTGTACCAAGACATGGGAAAACGAAGCAACTAGTGAATAACTGAGAAGCATTAAAGTATGTTTTGAGTGATACCTACAATTTAAACTTACCTTCTTATTTCCACATTTAGTTCCATTGGCCACCATGCCTATTTCTTGAATGGTATCTTCAGGATCGAATGTTTTACATGTCAGAAAAGTTACTATGCGTCCTTTCCAGGGTAAATTATCTGACCCACCTTGACAGAACAACTTCCCACACATGGCATCACTGAGGAAAAGTCAAAGTTCATTGCATTGAAATTCTAGGATCTAAGATACAGTTTTACATAAATGCAAATAAGTTCTACGACTATGAATGTTTAATTAATGGTATTTCTCTCTGCAATAGAGGCTGCTACTTCTCTTTTACCTCCAGTTTCCTATTCTTTCTCAGTAATAGAATCACTGTATATAATCAGGGCAGAGGATTGCTCAAAAAACACATCCTCCAAATTCCAGTACTCCTAATTCTGGCCAGTTTCCTAATTTCTGTCCAGTGAGAAGGAAGCAGAATATTAAGTGCAAATTCTTTACTGAGTACAACAGGATATGTCCCATTCTCAACTCTTTCTACGTTTTGCTTGTTGGAATGTGATAACTAGAGCTACCTATGTTAGAAGCTATCATAGACTTGGCAATGGAGATCATATGTATGATGGAACTGGAAGCTATAAGAATTCCTAACATCAGGAAGTTACCTCAGAAATAAATTTCTATCTTGTTACAACTGAAGTGACTTATTTTTTTGTTACTTGCAGCAGAATAATTCCAAAAAAATTCAAAAGATATAAACCTCAGTTTCAACTGTAACCAATACAAAACTGAACCTTGGCTGACACTCAAAGGCATCATGTGGAGGAACTGAAGGGCTGCCTCTTTGACGATACAGATGAACCAGCTCAGCACTCAAAAACCATAAATTTTTTTCCAAAACAGATAAAATTGTAGTAAATATCTTTATGCAGATTCAAAGCTGGGTTGTGGAACAGTACTCTGAAAGTGATCCAATCATATTCTTCTTATGACTGCTGGTGGTGATAGAAAAGATGATTGTGGAGTGGAGAAAGGCAGACAAGCATTGGGAGAATGATACACCTCTGGCTCTGGTAGCAGAAATTATCCAGTGCTCATATAAGCAGTTTTTCAGAATAGTGCATGGGAACCAATGCATGTGTGTGAATATGTGTGCTTGTGTGTGTGTGTGTGTGTGTGTGAAGTATAGAACTATCGTGTTCCCTTTTCCCACTCACCATCTCTCAAGCTGCATATTGCCTTTCACATAAACTCTTCCCCCCCACCGGCCCCTTGAATCTTCTCTGATTTTCTCTAAAGACAACAGGATATCATTATTAACACTCAGCACATTAGTTTTCAATGGAAAAACTTTAGGGAAATGCTATTATGTTCAACCTCTTATTTTAAATTATTTTTCATGGGTAAAATCTGAGACAGGTACAGAGTGTTTTAATCCACAATAAGTAAGTTTAATTTTAAAAGTCATCTTAAAATTTTGGGAAAAAAACAACTCATAAAAATTCTCAAGTTCATCTGGTGTGATAATCTTTGTCCTAAGATAAAAAATGTTAAAATTAATTCTTCAGATAACTTGTCAATCTTTTCTCTCACTGTTTCATTTTTAATGCAATTTCATTGCAAGATTAAATAAATTTGTACAAACATTTCAATGGTTGTTCCTCTGAGTAGAATATTCTATTTCTGCCCCTAGAATCAAGGAACACTTGTGGCACAATGGTTAAAGCATTGGGCTGTTATCTGAAAGGTTGGCAGTTCAAACTCACCTAGTGGCTCCATGTGAGAAAAGACCTGATGATCTACTTCCATAAATATTACAACCTAGGAATCCCTATAGGAGCTCTAGTGGCCTAGCGCCTAAGGCATTTGATTGCTAACCAGAGGGTTAGTGGTTCAAATCCACCAGCCACTCCTCAGAAGGAAGATGGGACAATCTACTTCCATAGTTATATTGCCTTGGAAACCCAAGGAGGGGTTGCTATGAGTTGAATCCCACTTGACGGCAGTGAGGTTTTTTTGTTTTTTGTTTTTTTTGAGGAATCCCTATGGGGCGGTTTTATTCTGTCATGCAGGGTCACTGTGAGTTGGAATTGACTTGAGTTGGAATCGACTTGAGGGTACACAACAAAAACTTACAATCATAATGAAAAATAATAGATTGGAAATACTCAAATTATACTGGAAAATTCATGGACAAATTTCCAACCAAGCCCACTCATTTTGGCATGTTCCACCTCAAATATCCACACCACTTAACAAAGACTATACCCAGTGCCATCTGAAGACCTACCACGAAGGACTTGAAGAAAGAGATAATTTCTTATTTTATTCCCAGCTCCTAGCCCACCACACGGCACATAATAGTCACTCAGTAAATCATTCTCAAATGAATGTTGTCCAAATTCATTTTCCATTATATGTAAGAAACTGAAAGTTGAGGATGGCAGCATGCTCTTCTCTGGTCCATGGAGCAGGAAGACTCAAACAAGGGCACTTACTTTGCTTTACAGGGAATGCGTGTGTCATCCACTTTGCGACAGTACCCGTACTTTGACCCACCTTCATTCCTGTTGAAACATGACTTATCTGCAACCTCAGATCCTAGAACAGGCCATAAGGGCATATTTGAAAGAAAAGAGAGAGAGAGAGAGAGAGAGAAAGAGAATAAATTCAGTGCTGGAAAGTACTAATAAAATATAAAACCAGTGTGAAAATTACTACTTTAGCATAATTTCATTGACCATCAACAGAAATATAGGCTGCAAATAATTTGACCAAAGAGATAGTTGAGTTAAAAATGTTATTTTAAATATTCTGCTATTATATGTTTGATATCCAAACTTTTGGAAATATTTGGATTATTTACTGAAGGTTGATAATTTATCTAAAAGGACTTAGCTAAGAGAACACAGTCATTATATTACCATCCCACATGCAGATATTCAAATATTGTCTTGCTGGTATGTGCTATTGTGACAGCTACCAGCTATGATTAATTATGGTCTTACTATGCACCAGGCATACACAAGCATCACATATGTGTATAATTTAATTTCACATGTAATCCTTCTCAGAGGTCCATCAGATGGGAAGAGAATATAGTGGTTAAGAACTCAGGCTTTAAGTAAGACTAAGCAGTTGCATGACCTTGGGCAAGTAACTTAGCCTCTTTGTGGCCTGCTTTGTCCTCTGTAAAATGAGGATATATAATGATACCTACATCATACAGTTGTGAGAATTGAGTGACTTAATATAAGTGAACCACAGAGAACAGTACCTTGCAAGTGGTTAACAAACACTAGCCATTCTTATTATCATTCTCATGTTATCAATAAAGAAACTGATTACAACACAAAGAGATGAGAAACCAGACTTCACTTTCTCTCTGAGACTAAGACATGCATGCCCTTTCTCCATGTTGGGCTATCATCTAAAGATTAGTAGAAATCTTCTAAAAACTTCAAATTCAGTCTTAAAAAACAAACAAACAAACCAAAAAAAAATATGTTGTTGTTGTTGTTATTTGCTGTCAAGTTGGCCCCGACTCATAGCGACCCCTCCTTGGGTTTCTGAGGCAGTATCATTACAGAAGTAGGATTGCCCAACCTTCCTTCTGAGGAGTGGCTGGTGGGTTTGAACCGCCAGCCTTCTGGTGAGCAGTCAAGTGCCTTAGCCACTATGCTACCAGAGCTCCCATTACTTATATTAGTAATATTTATTGATTTCATTTTTTTGTTGTTGTTAGGTGCCAACGAGTTGTCTCCTACTCATAGCGACCCTATATACAACAGAATGAAACACTGCCAAGTCCTGTACCACCCTCATGATCCCTGTTACACCTAAGCCCATAGTTGTCAGCATTGTGTCAATCCATCTTGTTGTGGGTCCTCCCTTTTTTCGTTGAACCTCCACTTTACCAAGCATAATTTCTTTCTCTAGGGAATGGTTCCTTCTCACAATATGGCCAAAGTAAGTGAGACAAAGCTTAGCCATTCTCATTTCCGAGGAACATTCGGCTACACTTCCTCCAGGACAGATTTGTTTGTTCTTTTAACAGTCCATGGTCCTCTCAGTATTTTTTACCAATACTACAATCGCCTTCTGAATCCAGCTTGCATTTCTGGAAGTTCTCTGTCAATATACTGCTACAACTGTTTTTGAATGATCTTCAGTAAGATTTTATTTGCAAGTGATATTAGTGATATTGCTCAGTAATTTCCACATTCTGTGAGATGATCTTTCTTTGGAATGGGTACAAATATGAATCTCTTCCAGTCAGTTGGCCAAGTAGCTGTCTTGGCATAGTTGAGTGGGTGCCTCCAGCAGGGCATTCATTTGTTGAGACATCTCAATGGGTATTCTGTCAGTTCCTGGAGTCTTGTCTTTCAGCCAATTCCTTAAATACAGCCTGGACTTCTTCCTTTAATACCATTGTCTCTTGATCATATGCCACCTCCTAAAATGGATTAGCCTTGACTAATTCTTTTTGGTACAGTGCTTCCTGCATCATTCAATATTTTGCCCATAGAATCTCAATATTGCAATTCGAGGCTTGAATTTTTTCTTTAATTCTTTCAGCTTGAAAAATGACCTTTTGGTTTTCCACCTCCAAGCCTTTTCACATTTCATTATAATAATAGATTTTATCTTTTCAAGCTGCACTTTGAAATCGTCCATTCAGCTCTTTTATCTTTTCATTTCTTCCATTTGCTTTAGGTGGTCTCTGCTCAAGGGCAAGTTTCAGTGTCTCTTCTGACATTCATTTTGCTCTTTTCTTCCTTTCTTGTCTTTTTATGAACTCTTGCTTTCTTCATGGATGATGTTCTTGATGTCATCCCACAATTCTTCTTGTTTTCTGTCATTGGTGTTCAATGTCTCAAATCTATTCTTTACATGGTCTCTAAATCAGGAGGGATATAATCAAGGTCAGATTTTGGCTTTTGTGGACTTTTTAAAAAATTGTCATAAATTTCAAGGTGGACTCACATATGACCAGTTGATGGTCTGTTCCACAATCACCTCCTGGACTTGTTTCAGCTAGAGAGGTTGAGCTTTTCCATCACTTCTTGCCACAAATGTAGTCAGTCTCATTCTTGTGAACTCCATCTGGTGAAGTCCACATGTATAGCTGCCATTTGTGTTGTTGAAAAAAGGTATATGCAATGAATAAGTCATTACTATTGCAAAATTTTATCATGTGTTCTCCAGCGTTATTTCTATCACCAAGGCCATATTTTCAAACTACTAGTGATTCTTCTTTGTTTTCAAATTTTGCATTACAATTGCCAGTGATAACAAACACATCTTGATTGCATGTTTGGTCAATTTCAGACTGCAGAAGTGGATAAAATCTTCAATTTCCTCATCTTTGCCTTTGGTGGTTGGTGAGTAAATTTGAATAATAGTAGTGTTAACTGGTCTGCCTTGTAGGCATATGGGTATTATACTGTCACTCACAGCACTGTACTTCAGGATAGATCTTGAAACATTCTTTGTGATTACAAATGCCATGCCATTCCTCTTCAATTTGTCATTTCTGGTAAAGTAGATCATATGGTTGTCTGATACAGAATGGGTCAAAACCAGCCCATTTCAGCTCACTAATGTCTACGATATTGATCTTTTTGCATTCCTTTTCATTTCTGACAATTTCCAATTTTCCTAGAGTCATACTTCATACATTGCATGTTCTGATTATTAATGGATGTTTTCAGCTGTTTCTCCTCATTTTGAATGATACCACATCAGCAAATGGAAGTCCTGAAAACTTTACTATGTGCTAGGCATCACATATTTGTATAATTTAATTTCATATGTAATCCTTTTCAGAGGTCCATCAGATGGGCAACAGAATATAGTGGTTAAGAATTAATGCTTTTTATAATAATAAAATATCAACATTGAAAAGGATACATATTTCTAAGCCCCAAATTCAATGATTTCTAGTAAAATTGGAGAAAGTATCATTAATGCACCTGATATTGCATGCTAACTTTTTCCAGTTTACAATATGTCTTTTCCATTCCCAAGCATTACATATTCTACCTTACAGCTGCAGTAATTGCTTTGGATCGATGTCCTATAATGCATTTCACTAATCAGTATCCTTGAACTTTGAAATCATTTCCAATATTCTATAATTATGTATGTTGTCCTGTGTATATATACATTTTTTTCTATCAGGAAGTACACAGCTATCTAAAGATAACGTATGAATTAGTTCTTTTTATTATTTTTATTTTATTTTATTGTGATTTCAGTGAAGATTAACAGAGCAAATTCACTTTCCATACAGCAGTTCACATACACTTTGTCTCATGTCATTGACCACAGTTTACCACAATGCAACAGGTCCCCTCCCAATTCCTCCCCATAGTTACCTCTTCCCAGTGTCCATCCCTCCATACACTCCAGATCCCTGAGCTGTCTCCCTGTGCATAAGCAACCCGTCTTTCTTCCATGATTGTTCTCTCCAAAGAGTATATCTACTTGAGGTAAATGTTCAACTCATATGCCCGTATTTTGTTTGGCTGGAAACCACAGGTGTGGGTTCAATTCCAGACCTGAAGGACAGCTAGGGGTCATAGTCTCAGGGGTTCCACCAGGCTCTATTGGACCAGCAAAACCTGGTCCCCACTTTCTTTTTTTCCCTCCAAATGATTTTGAGTTTTGTCTCACATTGTTCTCCCTCTCT